AATTTATGTATTGTGAGCACTGTTGTCTACTCCCAGAATCTCAAGGTTTGAAGTGTTTTCTGTTTAGGATCAAGACTTTGTCTGAACAAACTTTCTAAGTTACGTGTTTTTTTCTAGCAACAGATGTGACTGTGGTTGTGCAATTTGGAGTTGAAATGGTGTTGACATTGTACTCTGAGTGCAGATTGGGCCTGTAAGGATATTTGGGGGGATTTGGGCATTGTTTATTCTTGATGAGCTATTTCATTAGGATCATAGAATCATCAGGTTGGAAGAGACAAAGGTCATCAAGTCCAAATTCTGTGCATGGCACAGAATTTTGCTCCTGGAGTTACTGGTTTGAGCATGGAATGGGATGAGTGGACAGGGCTCAGTGGGAACTTCAGCAAGGGAAGGGGATTTAAATGTGCCTAAGGGGGTAAGAGATAACCCAGACATTATCAGGTCCCAGCAGCTGTGCAGTGCCACAGGACACAGGAAGGGGAGTGTGCAAAGAGTGACTTGCAGAAAGAGAAGGAATTTTTTAGTACATATGGAATGTTATCCAATAAAACCCCCAAAGCACCAGTCCCAGCTCTGTCAGCTCTTCATAGGCTCAGCACTGGGAAGAAGTTCCCTGAGGATAATCATTGTAAGTGTCCCCTGAAGTCATTCCCCTCTCAAGTCTTGTTTCCTTCTTTCTCTTCTCCCAGGTAATCACTTTGGACTAAGGCTGTAAATATTTCTGATTCTTTGAGAGGGAGAACATGTAGAGACATGTTTTTTTTCTTCCCAAATATTTTGAGTATCTCAGGTATTAGGAAATCCAAATTTCTCATCCTCACTATGATGAGTTTAAGATGCAGAGAAATATTAAATGTGTTTCAGTAGCCAATTCTCCCTGGAATAAGTGAAACTTTGGTGATTCAGTGTTTATTATGGCTCTGGCCTGAAGTGACTTGCCCAACTGTGAGAGAGAATCATTTTCCTAATTTGATTAAAAAAATCTTCATGATTCAACCTTTATTCCTCTTCTTTGTCTCTGCTCTAGGCAAAAGAAACTAGAACAGATGATGGAAGAAGAAGGCTTAAAAGATGAAGAGGTAATGAATATGGAAAATTTTTCTTCATGGTAAAACACAAGTTGTTTTTTTCCTAAGTGGAGATCTGAGATCTCTCCTTGGAATTGCTGTGATGCCTGTGGAAACCTGCAGAGTTCTCACTGGGGTTTCTTGCACTCTAGAAAAGGATCAGGAGATCAGCACATGCACAGAAGGAGACAGAGTTTCTTCGCCTGAAGAGGACAAGGCTTGGACTGGAGGACTTTGAGTCTCTCAAAGTAATAGGCAGAGGAGCATTTGGAGAGGTGAGTCCAGAGAAGATGACTAAGTGTATTTGTAACTGGCTCTGGTGTTTGCTGAAGACCTGCACAGTTTGTACAAGTGAAAGGTAAATGTTGTAACAGCCACAGATCGATTTTCAGCTGAACAGTCATGTGCAGAGTGTCTTTGTGCCTAATAAAGCAGAGAATCATAGACTTTTAGGGGTTGGGATGGAGCTTAGAGATCATCCAGCCCCAACCCCCTGCCCTGGGCAGGGACACCTCCCACCAGAGCAGGTTGCTCAAGGCTTGAGCCAACCTGGAATGAACATTGCTAGGGTTGGGGCAGCCACAGCCTCCCTGGGCAACCTATATTTGCTGGTTTAAAACACTCTGTGCTTTAAAGGAACCTGAGTGATTCTAGGATTCTATGAGTGCTGGTGAAAAGGACTTGGTGGGCAGGTAAATACAGGTTTGCAGTGAGATCTGGGGCAGGACCTTGGGAGAGCTGGAGGATCTTCAGAGCCTCTTCAGAGGAGAGGCTTTGCACCAGCTGCTTTAGGTATGATATGCTCAGTATCATCTCTGTTACATTTATTGCAGCTCTTAGAATTAACAGGGTTTTTTTTGCCATTTTTTTTGCCATTGCTGTGCACTGTGTAATGCTTTTGGGGTATTATAATCTGACTTGGGGAGACACTGGCACAGGTTGCCCAGGGAGGCTGTGGCTGCCCCAACCCTGGTGGTGTTCATTCCAGGCTGGATGAGCCTTGAGCAACCTGATCTAGTGAGGAGGTGTCTCTGCCCAGGGCAGGGGCTGGGACTCGATGATCTCTAAGGTCCATTCCAACCTGAAAAAATCTATGATTTCATTAAATGGAAGGCAATGGTTTGATCCCAGCATTGTGCTGGCAGTGCTGGATGTGACTCCACTCCCTGTGCTCTCCCCAGGTTCGACTGGTGCAGAAGAAGGACACAGGACACGTTTATGCCATGAAGATCCTGCGCAAGGCTGACATGCTGGAGAAGGAGCAGGTGAATAACCACCCTGGGCAGCAATGCCCATTTGTCCTCCTCACCATAGGTGACCCCAGGAGGTCACTGTGATAGGCAGAGGAGGAACTGTCAGCTCTGCTTTAGGTTTGCTGTCTAAAAACCTGTGCTTTTGGGGGGTTCCCTCCCTATTTTTATGGAGGAAATAAGTCAGAAAACTATCTGAATTCATAAAGACTCATCTCCTAGTTGGCTCTTTCAACACAAACTCGTGCTCAGTGTAGACTTCAAGGTGAGTGTTTCACTGCACGTCTGACTTGGAGGATCAGATATCAATACCAAAGTGATACAATTTGGACTCAGAGAGACATAAAGTAGCAGCATTTAATAGATTTAAGGCTTTCCTTTGCTACTTGTGGGAATATAATGGTCTGAGCCAATCACTTCTTGCTCAGCACTGGGGTGAAGCTTTGTGATTTCAGCAAGAGACCTAATGGTTAGATATTTTGGGGAAGAATTGAGATATTTTTGTCTATAGGATTTATATATAGGTTTGATAGGTGTAATATAATAGGTGTATATAATATATATAGGTTTAATAGGTTATATCTACTTGTGGGAATATAATGGTCTGAGCCAATCACTTCTTGCTCAGCACTGGGGTGAAGCTTTGTGATTTCAGCAAGAGACCTAATGGTTAGATATTTTGGGGAAGAATTGAGATATTTTTGTCTATAGGATTTATATATAGGTTTGATAGGTGTAATATAATAGGTGTATATAATATATATAGGTTTAATAGGTTATATTATATAATAAAAGTATGAAATATATGTATATAATCATCCACAGATGAAGTTATGAGTGTTTCTGCCCTTGTGCATAGCTTTGACTCCTGCCTTGTCACTGTTTGATGGTTTTCAGTACAACACTTGGATTGTCTGTGCCATCAATGCATCTAATCAAGCACAGCCTGGTAATCAACCCATCTGTGTGTCTCCAGGTTGGCCACATCCGTGCAGAGAGGGACATCCTGGTGGAGGCAGACAGCCTGTGGGTGGTGAAGATGTTCTATAGCTTTCAGGACAAGCTAAACCTCTACCTGATCATGGAGTTCCTGCCTGGAGGTAACACTGGAATCCAGAGGCTGATTTCCCTTCAGTTTGCTGATGACAAGTGGAGTTTGGGACTGGATGTGTGTGGTTATCCTGCAGTGGTTGTGCTGTACAGCCACGAGGGAACAAGTCACTGCAAAGGTTTTTGGGGTGCTCAGGAGTTTGGGACAGGCTCGAGGTTACCTTGGGCCTTGGAGCTGCAGGTGCTTAAACTTGGCCTTAATGCTGTGCTGGTTCTTCCCCCAGCTGTGCCCTAGATGTCTAGAAGCACAACACAATCAGGTTTTGATTGTCTAACCTGTTGGTTTTGGCTGGCTTAAGGCAGAACTAGCTTTTAACATCCTTTTATTCAGAGAATGATGGTTTGTCCTTGATGCTAATGCTGCTGTAAGTCACTTAAGGAGAAAGTTATCCTGCAAGCCTGTGT